TCATCAAACGGCAAGCATGGATGCCTACAATAGGCTTCGTTGGGTGATGAAGATAGGCTTGTGAATGGCAACAACTGGGCCTCTAGGCTATTGCCTCGATGTCATCCAATCAGCACAAGCTCGTACCAATAGACAATTTGAATGAACTTTGCCTCCTGCAATGGCATGTCCAAGTCCAACATGTTCAGCGTCAGCTTTTATATGCTGCAGATGGTGAGTATCAGCTACTCAGGCACGTACCTGCATGCACACAAGCTGGGCATGTTGTACGACCTGCTCAAAGCCACTGACGGGTGTTGCAGGCATGTAGGGCATGAACATGAACTTATATACAATGCTTGCTGTAATGGAGGCATGGACAAATGCAACTGGGGACTGCATTGTCGACCTTGGCATCAATGGCCCACAGAGCGACTACAGCACTGTGCACGTGAGCTATGCTGTCTACCACCAGGTGGCGGCACATGCATATGCATTCACATTCTTCAACTACACAAAGTGTCCACTGCCAGCACCAAATTTGTGTTGCACTGCAGCACTCTTTGCTGGTGTACTGGACTTTGGCACTGCCCTCATATACTACCTCAACGCACCACACTCAACTGTGTGCTTAAGGTGATATATACTGATCTAGCTTTTGCTTCATACTCATTTGAGGTGGTACTACAAAGCATTCTGTGTAAATACAGCTCTGTAAAATAGCCAATTGCAATATACTTATCTAATGCTCTAATAATACTTGTGCGATGAGAAGTGTGGTTGGTAATCAATGCTACAATACCAGGTGCAGATGGGGTGAGCTACAATTATACCATGAAGCTGCTACGAGAGTGCTTTTGGAGCAGTGGTGCATCCAGTGCTCGCTATATAAGACAAGAGATTGCTTTGCTTTGCTCCATGGTAGCTGTCCCTGTGGTTGCAGATCTTAGTTGCCTCTTGTCACTATGTACATTACATGTCTACAGTGATATTTAAACACAACTATAGTAGAACTTCAGGATATGTGACATTCACGATAGTTCGTTCATCAGGGGAAAGTCTCACTCGAGTGTGAGAGCAATGACGAATACGAGACAGAGCGGTATACAGTTGCCCATGCAAGAACACAGGCCATGTGAGGTCAACTCCTACTTGATCTAATGTCAGCCCTTGACAGCTGTTGAAGGTCGTGACATATGCAGCGGCGAGAGAAAACTGGCAACGGAGTAGAGTGTAGCCTGACCGCAGCTCGTGAGTAAAAGTGATCCGTGGAATGAGTAATTCCTCATTATTGATGTGTTGACCAGCAGAAGAGCATAGAATGTGGACAGTAATCAATCGATGGCCCATGGCAGTGACCAGGATGCGGACATTTTTCATGAGCCCTCAGTCAAGAGAGAAGTTGTGTAGCAGACAGTAGATGGCATTGGTCTTGATGACCAAAGTATGTGGCGGTAAACCAGGAGGTGTATGCCTCGCAGCATAATCAAGGAGGCTGTTATTATTGGGCATGGGTAGCTGCGCTTCTGTTGCCTCTTTCAGTGAGTCACTTGCAAGGTAGGTCCATTGTTTGCCTTTGATGCAGTCAACTATGAATGCATTGTACACGTCTACCTGGGCATTGGTTGGAGTGAGGATCGGCCAGTGGCAGCACATGCGGGGTTGAAAGAGCACATTAACAGGGAAGACAAAGTCTATTAGTTTGTTTTCCAAACGCACTTTGCCCAGCATGTCAAGCGCAACATTGGGGCCAGCTCTATCACCAATCGTGTTCACAAAGTCTGCAAACTTGGGATTCTCAGCATTGTGTATCGGTGTCGTCAGCTGGAAGATAGAGAAAGCTGGTCATAAACCAGAGGTCTTTATAGATGCTTGCACGACGTCTGCTTTTCACCTGCCACAAATTACAGGGCAAGTCTGCCAGAAGTCACCAAGTAAAACAAACACTTTTCTGCTGAAAGGTAGTTCAAGGCATTCAGAGACTGTTCGCAGCACTTCTTCCATGCAGGCAAGGACCGCCTTGTTTGCCATTAGAGCTTGATCCCACATAATTGCTTGCGCTTGGTTGATGAAGTCACCTCGTGATGATTGAGTAGTAATCAGAGACTTAAGCAGCTCGTTTTTGTTGTTGACAGGAACCTGTTAACTACAGTTGATATAACATGCAATGAACAAAAAGCAAAGTTAACGACACACCTTAAAAGTTGAATGTGTGGTACATCCTCTAAAATACAATTGAGCAGCATATCCTGATGTTGCAGTTGGGAGTACAATGTTACCATGGCCTCACAGATAGTTACAGATCATGTTGATGAGGAAAGTTTTACTTTGTCCTGCTTTACCATTGATGAAGGCAAGCAGAGGAGTTTCGGACAGTGTGGCTTGCACAATGATGTTGAAGATATGCCGCTATTCTGCATTAAGCATAGCCAGTGTGTTTTCAGCTCTGACCCAGAGTGCATCACACTGCAGATGCCAGCGTTCCAATTTGTGTTCGACTTCTGCTGTGTACATGGTGGGCTCTGGCAAGCCGCAGTCTTGTAGTGATTTATCGTGTTCCTCAAGGTAAGTTGACACCTCATAAAGAGCATGATTCATGCCCAACTCCTTGTTGTTTTCGTGTTGTGGAATATGATTATATGATAGCTGTACCTGTAGAGTGTCCCAAAGAACGAGCGAGGTGGCAATGTAATCATTGATGAGAAGGTGCACAAACAGCACGCACAGTTGATGTGGCATGCACAGAGTAGCTATTGCTTCAAGCAACGCAAGCTCAGCCTCATTGTTGTCAGCAAAAGGCCTAATGCTGCCGCTGCCAGCTGGTAGGAGTCATGTACAACACCATCAGCTGTTTGCATGTTGCGAAAACAATGAGCTGGGTGGTGTTAGAGTAGTGCACAAAGGTAAAATCTTTCGCCTTCAGATGGTCATACAGAGCAGATGTGTGCGAGGTGTGGTGCTGCAAAGGAATAAAGAATAACATGCATGCAAACAAATGTTGACTGATGCACATGGTGTTCTGTAAAGTAGTTTGGATGACTTGATTTCATGGGATCATAAGGTGCTAAATGGAAAGCAGAGTAGTATCCGGTGTAAGCAAGGTTGTCAAAGTGGCAAACAACGTTCTGTATGTCAAGGAAGCTTCCAGATGGACAGCAAAAGTAGTGTTCTAAAAGATGCAGGAAGTCATCCTGCATGTCGTTCCATCATTGATATTGGCAATGTAGATTTTGTTCCTCAAGATGCACAGGTAAGGACATAACAGAAGGTTGTTTGTGAGTGATGTTGTAGCCAAGAATTTGCCAAGCAGCCTCATTGGCAGAGAGATATCTTGCACTCCAATACTCCTCAATCTCGTTGATTGGTTCTCCTGGTGCCCTAATTGTGTAGGGCATATGATCAGGATTTGCAAAAGTAGAGAATAGTCAGTAATAGCACATGTTAGTACGCATAGATCAGCTACCTTTGTGTATGTACTTGAAGATGTATTGAAACAGGTGCAAAGAGTTTGCACACTCAAAGTTTATGTGACAGTCAAAAATGCGGAGAATAAGAAGGCAGTATGGTACAACCCAAGCTGTCTGCCTTGTGGTGGCAACAATAAAACCACACCGACCTGCGTGGTCCATAAAAGTGACCAGGTGCCACTAGATGAAGATAACTTTGAATCAGC